ATAACAACAGAGCCAGCAGTAGTTCCTTCGCCACCTCAAAATCACCAAGTTCCAGCCAGCCATCTCACCTTTCCTAACGTTCGCGAAATGTTCGAGTCTCAGAGGCTTGTGATGCCTAATGGTTCTACTGCGGGAAGATGTACTGGCGTTCAACCAGTCCAAGGTCAGTTTGGAACTGCTAGTACAGCTTATAATGGCAACTCGGGAGCTATGTATTGACATTCGAGATCGATAAAAGTACGAGACTCGTTTGCAGTGACATTTTTTATTACATTTTGTCTGACTAGTGAGTTTTAAAGACTTTGAACTCAATCTCTTTTATGATATACATAATATAGACACGTCGTAAATGCTTTTACGCCTAAGAGTTAATTTTTGAAAGCATACGGTCTTTTAGTTCAAACAGTCAATCAAATTATTTGTCCTTATGAATAGAAGTCAGTCGCATCATGGATTAGATGCCCTAGGATTCAAAGGGTTTGACAATTTAACCATTCTGGATAAACTCATCCTAAATCGTTCTTTCACTAACATAGAACATCACATTAAGCTCGTCTTTGATCTCCTACTAATTCACAGCACGCAAAGAGCATGTAGGTTTAATCTCTATTTGTCAAACTATTTTGGCTATTTTAGTACATATTTTGCGCCAAAAAAGTACAAATATGTACAAGTAAAGTGTCGAATCATCCCACAGTCTACTACGGACACTCACTTAGATTGTTGTAATGCCTTAATCGTATTAGTGGAAGTATAATTATTGATCCAAAGCATATATAAACTATTACATAGACAATATTTTGTATTGTAAATAGTCATTGGAGTTTATTTTTTGTTATTGTGAAACTGTTTATATGTGAGCTAGAATACTTTGCTATAGTGAAGAAAGCTTTTGTTTTGAGCAGCACTCTAGATTCGCGCTATGTACCGAGGCGAGAGGTGTCTCTACAAGTTTACAAATAAAGCTTAAATGCGAATCAAGCTTTCCTTGCTTTCGTGGTTTCTATGTATTCTTGTTTAGAAAGGGTTTCCTTTTTCTATGCTCCAGGATTATTCCGTCACTCAAAGTTGACAAACTATCTAAACTTCAACACGATTTTTCTTAATCTTTGACGCTTACTAACGCAATACRATCATCTGAAAAACGCAACAGTKATTYATAAATTYTATATGCATGGTTTTGGAGTTGATTTTAMCATATTTTGAKTTAGAATTTTGAGGTTAAAATATCTCAGCCGAGTCGTGCTTGTGCATGCGGACTGCCCAGTATTAAGAGATTACTTCGTAACTATCACTGTTTGACGAGATTTTTAAATACTAATCCTACAGCAATTACTACCGATTACTTTAACACAAAACAGGAAAAGGCAAATCCAAAGAGTCGAAATCCCCGACCGGAGTTTGAATAGATAATTTCTATGGTTTACTATCTTCCAAAAGAAAAGTCGTTGTGTGGTCGGGGAAGCCACGCGCCGGCACTGAACCACCAAGGAAATTACCTTCATCACATTAATTAAGAACTTAATGACTTTAAAACTCAATGAAACATSTATTGAACGACATAAAACACTTGGTTCTATATTACAACGATCGTTTTTGAGTCTGAGTTCTATTTATAACACTGTCCTCTTATTGAATGAACAGAAACAGTCCTTTTGTCCATATCTGATAAAGAGCTCAATCATATAGTATCTAAAACGTAATGGAGGAACAGTATCTTATCATCTGGTGGTCGAATTATACTACTAAATGAAACATCGGCGCGGAAACTGTTAACTAGGTATTCATAATTCCCAAATTACAGATGTCATTGTGTGGGACTACCGACTCTTGTTTCAAAACTTCTAAACATTTTCCCCAATTGTTTGACCTCCAAATGAAATTACAAATGTTATCTAGAGAAATTCTATTCTTCGCTGCAAAAAGATGTTATCTTGTAAAGTTGTTTCGAGTCTATTTATCTTTAATCGTCAATAATATGTTGTAAAGTCATATGTGGTTAAAAAGTATGACAGTTAGAAAGACATAGTCACTGAAAACGTTCTCGCACACTAGCAACAAAAAATTTCATCGTTTTTCCACCTAGACAATATTCAAACAAAATGAAGCAAAGGAGAATGCATGTTTAATATATCTAAAAATATCTATACGTGGTTTTAGTTTACAAGTTGGATTCTCTTTGCAAATATGAAATTCACAAACAAGTACAGTAGTAATTCCCCTTTGATCTGTTCTGTCCAATCTGTTCTTTGCATAGCATTTTGCATTGTTATTATTTAATCCTTGGAGAGCCTAAGATCCCGGGCAGTGATTCTGCTAATTCTATTATTTCGAGAGCAGTTCTGACATGAATTTGTTCTAAAAACTTCGCGCGCGTTCGACAATGATGTTTTGCCTGTTTGGGCGGGAAAGTTGGGTATCTAATGTTGCTGTAATTATCAGAATTACCTAAAACTATCAATGCTAGAAAATTGATGCACTTTCTTGTTGCAAATTACTAGCAGTTATGTATTTCAGTTGCTTTTAATAATTTCTACTAAATATGTAAGGTTTTTCGAGAAACGAACTTATTATAGATACTCTTCGGAAGCCATTCGTGATTTTGTTTAATTTTCTTTAATTTCTTTTCTAAAAGTAATTGTTGTTGTTGTGATATTTGTTTCACTTTCAGCGCAATAGTTTCGCTTAGTATGTCTCAAATCTCAGCTAGAAACTTATAACTTTTAAAAAATATAAATACTACTTTCAAGAATACTATTTGTTTCAAGTATTTGAGTTCTGTAGCTACAAGATGTATTTTGTGACTTTATCTTCGGTTTTAACCTAAAATATAAACAAAGATAGTGCTTTTGGTGGCGAGTAGAAACACACTCCCGAAATTCCTCCATTCCATCCACTGCAGGAACCCTTGAACGTTCTCATTCTACCATACAACATCACACAAATGAACATGATTTTCAATTTTTATTTTTGTGCATAAAGTTATTATTTAATGATATAAAACTTGATTGGACTGCATGGCAACCAGAACACCATATCAATATAGTATTTTGATTAAATTCGTCGGTCTCTTCAACGCAGAAATTTCATAGGGAGTAAAGCAATTAAAACTGAATTTCTTGAGTTGTTTAATTTATCTTTTGCTAAATCACAACAAAAAGGTGATGGAGTCTATTTTTCCTTGATTGTAAGATAGTTTTCTTACAGCTCTTCTTTCGTAATTTTTTCTCACGGTTTTATTTGGAGAGAATATAGTTCTTCTAGTTCACTTGGTTTACTTTCAAAACAATCGTTCGACACGAACAACGCCATTTCCTACGCATTTCACGAGAACTTTGACTTCTTCAACTAAATCTTCCAGTAAAAATCATCCAGGTCASCAAAGAAGTGCATTATTTGRTTCAAAATTTGTATCACAATTCCCAAWTTCATTCATTTTCGTCACGGATTTTTAGCAAAGATGGCGGCAGAATTATTCGGTATGTGTCAATATTTGAGCTAAATATTTGCGTGCTGAAAATTTAAACAAACTRACTATAGAARAGCACAAATTAATCTGGGAAAATAAATGCTTCAACTGATAATTGCCTATGCTTTTGAATTGTTAAATAGAAGTAGAGTTTCTAGTGATAGCCATTCATGGCGTGACTACTATAGCTTTTGCAAACATGTAACCTTCAAAACAGAATCTGTGGGCTTGTAAGCCACACTCAAACAAGTTTTGACGCGAATTTCTATCCGAAATAGCTCAACGTTTACTTCACTTTTGCTGAAATCAATGCTGTAGCGTTTTGGCAAGCTGTTGTCCATCGTCTTCTGAAGACCACCACGAAGTCTCCTAAAGAAAAACAACAACTTCCATCGATGACACTTTTCCTTATCAAAGTTTTGCAGCACAAGATAAGTAAACTTCTGATAGCTGCTGTTATGGTTTGATTTTAATAGTACCTCTCACTTCATAACATAGAAAGCATTTAAGCTTAATTGTATCTAGTAAAAACTGCAAGATCTCAACTGCTTATTCTTCCCCATTGAAAGTTCGTGCATATAGGAGGTTCCCTTCTCGTAGGCAACGCGCGGAGTTTGGGGACGGTAAACATAACACTTCTTATTTATGATGAGTAAATCTATGACACGCTTTTTTTAAAGTAAAAAAGACGAAATTAACTGATATTTTTTAAGGTATATATAGGATTGTGCGGTGCGCAAACACATGAATATTTTTGATTTTCTTGACTGACTTGAAAATGTATTGAGACGTCAAAATGACAAAAAAATGATGTAAAAAATGGCAAATAATATTTTGTTTCGCATGTAGCTTGTTCTATGATATCTTTATTTTTATTTTATATATTTTGATGAACGAAAGTTCATCAGAAGTCGTTTATCTGCAATGTTTGTAACTGCGGCATTGTATGTAGGGGATATACTACTCCAAAAGCAACAGTACATTTTAATATGGAGACTATCGAAACCTATGAATTAGACACGACTTAACAAGCTGCAAAAAGACAACATATTCAACTGTCGTCGTTCTAACTTAACTGCTGCATTCATCTAGTAATTGTCACTCAAACAGATACTAAATTTCACCAACCATGTTATTTTAGATGGCTTTCTTTGAAGTAAGTCTTTTCTCGCGTCCTTATAAGTAAAATAAACTAGAAGTCTTTCAACTCCGGCTCCCCACAGCCACTGACGACACGCAAGCCATTTTTAGTTCCGAGTTTGACAATCTATTAGCAGCGAACGTACTAGTGATGACCAGGACGGCCCCACCAAACAAGCTAAAGCTATGACTTTACTTGTTGAGAAAACAGTATTTGTTAAGCAAACAGCTCTAAAAGAGGTACAACAACATTAAATATCACATTGGGATAACCTTTTTGTGTGTATTTAGATGCGTTTAGCTTGTTTGATATGATTTTCTAAGGCGATTTCTCACAAAACAAATCGTCCTGAACTGTTTATAAGAGGAGGTGATTGTTCGTTTACGCATTGGGTGCGATTTTACCTACTGGATTAGTCCTTGCAAATGAACCCATCCAAGTAACAGATAATTATTATATAGATCATGGCTGTTTTAATTCTACCTTTATCTCCAAGGCTCAACGAAAAGATTGAAATATTTGAAATACTTGGAGACATCTTTAATAGCGTTTATGCGCGATTTCAGGGCTCAATTGATATCAAGTTGCGACCCCGTAAAGTTGGGTTTCCTATAAGGTTCGCAAACATGTGTCACTYTGACTCAAAATCTACAAAAACAGTAAAGCTCTTATCGCAGATATACTTCTATGACCTAGTTATCTGATACAATTTTACTTAATGCACTTTTTTGTGTCAATATGTAAGCTTATTCGTGGTCAATTCTTTATAACCCCTCAGACCGAAGATCGCGAGCGAAARGTATCAATGGACTGATTTCAAAAACGTTTTTATCTTGAGTTTATTACCTTAAGTTTTTGAATCCATGCTTATTCATTGAGAATACTGCAAAAGTCATACTTTTCAAGCTCATTTTTACTGACATCTGAAGTCTCGTTTACGCTGGAGATTTTTGATGCATTTTTTTCGGGCGATTTTCAATTTTGTCTTATCCTTCTGAGGAGACATTTAGTTTGGTCATCACAGTGTTCTGAATTATAGCTTACACAATTTGATTCAGTTTAACATTATTTTCTATAGGATCAAAATGACCACAAAAAGGTCGCATAATAAACAACAATAGTTGCCATTGTAACGGGCTTTAAGAAAAAAGTGTCGTACTGAGATCACATCGTGAGATTTCAAGAATCACCTAACAAACCTCCCTGATATGCAAAATAAAAACATTTTCAAAAACCCTGAACATTGGCATTTCAGAAATAGAAAATCTGTTTTATTTGACTGCACTATGTCGTCTGCTTTCTCTCTTTTCTGAATTTGATTTTCAGTGAAGTTGTAAGTAGTGAATGCAATAAAAAAGAGCAAGAAAGATGGACAAAAACTCTTCTCGGTACCCGTAAAGAGACAATATTTTGGCTGAATACGAGGAAACGAAAGGACCCCAAAAACCGGTCGTAATGTAGATTAGCTATAACAAATCTCTTCTTCGACAATACTGATGGTCCGATTACAGGGTCCAGAACTATTTTTCAGCAATGTACTGTTTGCAGACGTACTCATTTAGTACTGACGCTTAGTAAATCAGTGGGTCTGGACAGTATACAGTCACATTCGTGTGAATCAGTGCAGTTCGCAGTTCAACGTATACCTTAGCAATAGACTAAAAGGGAAAAAGGGTAAAATGAGATCCCAAAACAATTGTAAATTTAAAGATTGTTTACTCATGAACATGTACTAAAAAGGTCTCCGAAGACTGATGACTTAAACTAGCTAGACAACACTCCCTTTAGTCGCAAGCATTGGCAAGCCAAACGTTTAAGACTTTATTCGTTTCATTTCCTGGAGGTCAGATTGAGAGCCCGGAACAACTGTGTTAAATCAAGGATTGTTTACATACGAACATGCACTATAATGAACTGTTGAGACGTCTTTTACTAGCTAGACAATGCTCCCTTTTTGCCCCCATTACAGCCAAGCGTTAAAGGTTTTCTCCATTTCATTTCCTGATAGCAAGACCCATGAAGCTCTTGCCCCCACACACTGTACTTAACCTTGTTTATACAGTTTTCAGGTGTTCAAAAACGCAAACAGATTTTCTTTCGGCGTTACCACATGTCTTTCCTTCGATACATTTGAGTCATTCAAAATAAAGGACAGCTTAATGACTCCCTGAAAAGGGAGCCAGTTTGAGTGCTTTCAAGCACATCCTCTCGTTTCGGCGTATTCTGTTTCAATGCACCAAGAGGATTTGTGTGGAAGATCTATCAGACAGACTTAAAAAAGTGATTTTGTGGAAGTGCTGAAAGGGACGTTTTTTAAGTGCTTCAAGCAATTCCCTTCACTTGGCGTATTCTGTTTCAATGAGCTTCCAAGCGGGTTTTGAAAGAAGCGGGAAATAAAAAAATGATTTTGTAGATGTAATATAAGCTCATAACCACAATTGGGTGAGCTTTTTTTCTGATGATTACTTGCATCATAGATGGGATGGGTACATTACAGGGCAGAAACTTTTCTGAATTTCAAGTACATTTCATCGAGTAGTGCTTCAGTGATTCACCATAGTGAGTGGGTATGAATTAATAAGATTTAATTATAAGCTGATTAGAAATGCTTCAAGCACTTATTCTTCTCATGTCGGTTCATTATTCGTAATTCAAGGAACTTTGCAAGTATTTGATTTGATAAGAAATTGGAAGACCCCAACGGAACTTCCAATTTATCCAAAGATGAGCACTTCCTTCGGAAGTTTAGAAGTTTCAGGGAGGATAAGGTGTGGGTTACACATAAAGAGAGATCATATCGTGGGTTTGAGTCGGCGTTCCACCAGGCGGATACATGAGCAATTACACTTGCAAGCATCGTTTGTTCCGCGGATGCGATAAGGCCTCGAACTGGGTGGGCGCGAGAATTTCGGTGTTTGGAAGGCAAGCAAGATGGAAGACGTTATGGATGAAAGTGATGACAGCAACGTGAACTTGACAAAAAGACTCACGTTGGAAAGACAAATACGAAAAGGTCACAGGCGGTGCACTTATCAATGTCGAGTTGCTGCAAATTGTTGTCATTTAGTTAAACGATTGTTCTATTTCTTAGTTTTCGTACTGGTGATTCTGGTTACAGGAGTTAAAAGGGTTAATTGGAGAGAGTTCTGTTGACTGACTGATAGATCAGCTGAAAGTTATCTTTAATGGCTTGTTCGTCATCACATCAGCCAGCCGACAGGTTAAGGAAGTCCTCAATTAGCCCAATCGACAAAATCAGCTTTTAGAAGTGGACCAGTGAAAATTAGAAGTCTTACTAGATTACTCAGTCACCTTTATGAGCTCGCATTGTTTAGGAAACCCTGCGAATATTAAACTGAGATTATTTTCATTAAACAACTTGTAAGAGAAGGAAAACATAATTTCATGTAATCAGCTCCAACATAAAAACACTCACAACATAGTTCGAACAGGGATTTTGATAAAGATTATACTTGTACACCACTTCGCAGCTAAACTAACTTCGACGAGGTTTGTTTTTTATGCTCCTAAAACTCAGTGACGCGATTAGGGAGTGTTGTCAAGGTCCTAATGTGGGTAGAATTATCTAAAAAGCTCTTTCAAATGACGTGTGCTGCGGCGATAAAGATCACTGACATACGCTGAATGGCTGAGAACAACAAAGGGTTCAGCTTATCTCAGCCACAAGTATCATCATACACCATCACCATTTTAGACAACAATCTAACGTCCAAAGAATCCCAAAGGTCATACTCTATCTCTAGCAGAATTTGCGGTTTTAATTTCATTTTGTTTATCGCATATATTTCGCTTTCCTGTGTCAGTTGTATTTTCGGTCCGACAGCTATTTTTGCCTATTTGCCGATGGATCATCCCTAAATCGCTAATTCATGAATTGAACAAGTCGCCTCGTGTTCGCTTTAATCTGTGTACTCTATTCCCTAATCCTTTTGAACCAACATACTGAAGTGGCTCGGCGAAAGCCTAACTACAGATATGAACTAACAATGAAAGGCGCCATGACAGTTCTGTGACGTCACCGCAACTAATGACGTCATTGAGGGTATTCCTGAGGTCTAAAGTTCCTTTCATGGATTAAATACATAAATGCACAACGTTTTGCAGCTTCGTGTTCTATTGTTCTGGGTGATCGATGTTCCAAAAATGCTATGCTACGAATTTTTCACTTTTCAACAACTTGTCTTTTACTGTTGTTATTTCTACGAAGTAGTTGCGATGTTTTTTAAAAGCACAACCTCAATCAATAAATTGGTCAAAACTAGTGTAATATAATTATGATGAAGAGTATAAAGCTTTTTTGCCTCGTTGTTTAACTTGAAAAAAATTCAGTCCCAAACGTAAACTTGACCGTATGTGCCTGGTATGCTTACAGTATGGAACAGTTCCAAGAAAAAGCACACGAAATATTTTCAGTTTCATGCAGGCGCACTTTACTGATCCCTTACTAACAAAATCATTTCGTAATGGTTCGGTTTATGTCATTAAGCAATACAAAACTTAACCTTACCAAACTAAGTTCCACTGACCTTCAAATATGGAAATTTGGCTTTTGGGCGATGCGTCTGTTCGAAAGCAGTTGACACGTTTCATTTTCCTTTTTTTTTTACCTTTTTAGTTGAAATCCCAGTATGCAATGAGAATAAGTAGGACTGATCCATATTTACAATATGTTTGGATTCAAAACGGTTTGAATTGCTATAAAGCTCATAAACTTAAGGAGAACTCGAGAAGTGAACGAGGAACTCCTTCGCCGCCTCGCTGTCTCTTGTCCAAATGCTCTCAACTACATAATATCTGTTTTATTACTGTAGCAGTTGTTTATTTGTGTATTCTAAGTCTGTATTCTTTGTGTATGTTCAAACTAAAGGAAGTTTTCATGGCCAAATATGTCAATATTATTTGGAGCAGTTTGTTCTTCCATGTACACAACTCAGTCACGCCTTGGGAGCGATCACTTACACTGTAAACACATTCACAAACAGCATGAATTTCCATTTGCAAGCTCATGTCTCGTTAGCCGYAATGAAACCTTGCAATTCTATAGGAAAATAACCGAAAAAYAACCACGAAAAGAAAGATATGACTGTACTTTTCATTGTTGGTACGACTGAAACTAAAGATGGATGCATACYAAACACTGGAAAGCTTATCATKATCAAGTTAGRTTTAAAGTGGGCTAGCAARATGTTGCCGTTTTTCTTTATTCATTTATTTATTTACTTTTTTTTGATTATTTATGTGTTTCGTTGCTTAAGTCAAAACAGCAAGATTAAATTTGTGGTACTTTCAGTACATGAAGSATTTTTAGTTTGTCTTGTTTTCCAAACAGTACTGATATAAAGTTACTTGAAACTTACCTTCACTTTCAGAAACTATGTTTCAAAAAGGTTTTATGACAAGAGGAATGATACCCGAGGACCTCGCGTTCTTTTAAAATAAACACCCCCCAGCATTTAATGGCGATAATAGAATTTAAATGGCTTCTCCAAATGTTTAATAGCTCTTTAATATTAATACAATTCACATGGAATTTTAAGCCTTCAACTCTATTCTGATAAGGTATATCGGTTTATAATTAAAGTTCAACCTGTTTCCTATCGTGGTGAGACATAAGAAAGAGAAATYTATGCCAGGGAGGAGAGGGCGACGGGAAAATTTGCAGCACATCTTGTGCTGTACAATCTCTGGCAAAAGAAAAGTGAGACACCTACAATGGTTAGCTCCTATACCCCTTACACCTCGGCAATGTTGTTTGCGGACCACAAAAGACATGATTTCCTGGCAATACGCGAAGACATCATTCTAACAACAGTGAACCAGAGAAAGGGATCGCAAGTGATCCCATTCAGAATATTACCCAAGATTTTTTTCAGAAATTTGTCAGGGGTATCCCTAATTCCCCAWGTTGCCTGATCCCATAGTTGTACACAGGGGAGCRGCCACCATCTTAAGACCTTGCACACATTAATACTTTTTATCRTTTTAAGTCTCAATGCTGACCATATTTGTRTTKCAGAACCYCTCCTAGAAAGCCTGCGGACATCTCTAAAGAAAATTATGTAACCAAACCCCCTTGTTCACTCGCAAAAATATATGCAGTAATTCTAGTAAACGAGCATGCGCCTGAATGAAAATACCAGCATGCGTAGAAAAGTATTGGTGCTTCTCTTTATACTGCAGCGCTTGAAGAACCTTAAAATGTTGGATTGAATAACCACCGAGTGACCAGGACTAAACAAAAGAAATATTGGTAACAGATTCTATTTCACGACGTCCGGTTCAATGTTTAATGACTCAAATGAATATCCTTCATTTCTCCGATGTCATAATTATTCTTCAAGAAGTAAAGATGGATTGTTATGGCTTATCGATGCTCAAACGCTTTGAAAAATCACTATGTAATCTATGGGCTTTTGGACACTATAAGGATCCCACTATAGTCTAGCTACAACGCATCCAGGAGTGCTTTCTTTTTTCAATAAACCACCCCAGTCCATCCTTTAATATCAGCCTTTTTACTGTTTAATTTCGCGACGCAGGAAGCCTTGTACCACTGTATTTTGTCGAAGAGCAAATAGGTTTATTGCTTTTATGAAATAGAAAGATTTCTTCACTTAAGAGCATGTGTCAGTTACCAGCCAATCAGCACGTAAGAATTCACAGTAAGGTAAACATGTATATTATGAAAACGCTTGCTTCATAAAGATGGAGAATTGCCAAGGGGTATGACCGTCGCATCTTGTTGCCTATCTTTTATACTTTTGTTTTTATGCTAAGTACTTAAACATCTTGAGGAAATTTAGCTTCAAATGAGTGAGAAAATCTAACGGCAATTGAAAAACCGACCGACCGCGAAAGTTTACGTGCTGTGGAATTTGCTTAAGATGTCATTTATATTTGTTGGCAAACTTAGTGTCCAATTTCAAAGAAAAGGTCTTGTCCGTGATACGAGGCTATGTGTGCATGACATAGAAGTGTGTCCACTATGGACGCTACAAAGATCTCACGATCTGACAATCTGTTTTTTAAAAAAGTGTATCAATATGAAGGCTCGAGGAAGCCCGAGTAATAATGATTTTGCCGACGCTTGTGCGCACCGACACTGTTGGACACTAGCAAAAAAATTCAGAAAATCATTTCAGTTATTTCTGTTAGTAAAACCTAGTAGGAATTAATAAAAAAGCATACTATTTTTCAGTATACAGTAAAAGCATTATTTATAAATTTATTCTTAAAAAAAAAACTGTCATCGAAACAAAAACTAATCACAAGACAAAATAACTGAGACAATACATAAAAAGTTGATCGGGAACAACGTCAGAACTGCCATTATATTCTAGGTATATTGCGTTTATTGATTCATAAAATGTCACGATAAAAAGATGAATAAAAATCGCAAAAGACGAAAAGAGGCAAGCGCGCTCTTTTTTGTGCACGACGGCGAGCCAAGAACTGGCAGCCCAACCATTGAATGCTTATTTAGAAAAAAAAACTATATTTGCTTTATTCACAGACGCGCGCGCTTTGATGATTACCATTTATTCATAAATTTATTTATGAATTAATAAAATACGATGAAATTATAAAAAAAAACTTAAACATGCAAAGGGTGGGCTGCCTGTGGCTAGTAGAGCACTAATTTAGGACTTCCTGTGGCATGACGACATGACCCTGTACTTACAGAGCGAGCAATCTCAAAATTGTTCTACGAATCAATGACATTAAAAAAAAGAAGTAATGTATTTCAGAATTGAAGTAGTGGGCTGCCTGTTCTTAGCACGAAAGCAAACACGCACGTGCGATCCGTGCACGCGCGTGAAGTAAATCTGCGCGCGAGTAACAGAGCGAGCTACGCGTGGCACGTGATCATAAAGACGCAACAATCGAGAAAACGGCAATGCACAGAAAACATCCAGCTACAACGTGAATACAAAATGGACATCGAAATGTCTTCATTTGTTAGAATAACAAGCCAGGACTTTGTAAAATATCCACATGGGATTGCCTACCTTTCGAGCATCGACGGAAGAGGCAATTTYATCGCATTTTCCATTTTTAAAATGCATGGAACCGGTCGCAATGGTCGAAAGAGACTGTATACTTTTGTGGCTTTGTTGTGCAACTGCGGTGGAGAATTTCGCGACGGCTTCCTGAAAGAAAATGTAACAGAAAACAATATTTTATCGATTGTTCAGTGCTACCTACAGACAGCTCACCGTCAAATTCCTCTAGTGAAAGTTTCTGCGGATGATGTGTCAGGTTTTGTGATCAAATTCTGTTTTGACAAGTTCTTGAAGAAAAAGATGCAGTATCCGAGTAAAGACGTGCAAACAATCGTTGAGCTGTTTCGACGAGCAAACAAGTACACGATCTATAAAACTGCCAGTGAATATTTGGTGGACAAATTTGGAGAAACACGAAAGGCGCCAAGATATTATTACTTGGACCACAGGTACAGTACCTAACCGCTTATAAGAACCCATTTTTCAAATTTAGTCATTAAACAGGTCATTACATGAATGGTGCTTAATTAATGAAACTTTAATCTACGCAGGGGTTCTTAAATACTAGTTTCTTATTTGATGAGTTATATTGTGAGTTTTTTCCCAAGTTCTTTATCGATAAATGAGGCAACATGTGAATAGATAAGTGGATGATACAAAGTTTTCAAACATTATTTATACCAAATTTACGTGTATATACTTGTTAAAGTTCACTACTTTTGAGTGGTAGTAGTCTTACGCAAAGACCTTACCAAACACAAAAGAGAGTACGAGAAAATGTCGTTATTACAATAGCTTTGAATGATTTGCATTTTCTCCATTGAGACTAACCCTGTATTCCCATGAAACCTAAAGGCCGATTTAGACGACACAACTTTTGTTTACAATTATCGCATGCGACCTCCGTAAGTTATCCTTAAAACATAGCTACAACTGTCGTGAGGCTATTAAGCAATTGTTTAAAATCCCTACGACAGTTGTAGCCATGTCGTAAGCATGACTTACGCAGGTTGCATGCGATAGTTGTAAGCAAAATTTGTGTCGTCTAAATCGGCCTTAAGGTTTTTCTAGGAAGACGGCCAGGGTTAGCCTCAACTTTGGGATAATGTAAATTGCTACTTACAACATTTTCTCGTCTTTCTTTTGTGTTTGTAAGGTCCTTTGCGTAAGAGAATTTGCTGTCAAATAGATCAACAGAGGTTATTCGCTTTGAATAGGCCATTTGCATTATGGCGTAACTTTACTAAAACCACCAGAGAGCCTTGCGCAGTTTCATTGTTATTCAGATTTTTAATCCCCTTGGAGATTGATAAAACAATTGGCACTAATTGCATTACAAAAGAAAGTTGGCAAAGCATTTTGGTAGTTGTAGTAAATGACGCCATAGTGCAAATCGGCTATTTATAAATRAATTCTTGTTCCTTTGTTCCGTTCCAGGAGAAGAGAGTTTCAGTCATGGTGGATGGAGCGCACGGAATTCGAGCGTAACAACCTACCCCTCCCCTATCCACCTTTTTACGAAACTGATGGCAAAGTTCTAACCTGTGTCTACATCAATAAGCTCAATAAAAAACTSACCACAGAAGAGAATTACGAGAGATTTTCCGGTATGGCGCGCCACATGGGATTCTGGTACCTCCACTCTCGTAAACCTCTTTACCTCAAATTGGCAGCAACCATGTTTGAAGCTCATGACAAAATAATGGAAAASAAGAGAAATGGGAAATCCTTTGACACGGAAAATCCTGTACTTATGATAATAGTGGCCAGAACGCAGATTATTCTAAACCAGCAAGGGTACTGCGAAGGACAGAMCMCGAGGTCGATTAACTTGGCAACCACAAGAAGCTCCTGCAACATGTGCGGCGCTGCTGTAGAAAAGGGAATGGCTGATAACGATTTGACATGCATCAAYAAGGAAGGAGAGGCAGGACTTGGCAATGAAATGACCCGTGAAGTATTAACAATCATGTTTCATGATGTCAAGAAAGTGGGCGTTCCCATGACAGCGGTTAGATCGGTGAGGCGAGTTTTTGAGCAAGCGTTTTTCACCTTCTTTACTCATTGTTTCAAGACCCATGTATACTGGAAGGAAACCCCCACTCCTCCAATGATCGATAAGCTTGCTGTKCAAATTAGCTTACACCTACTGCGCATGATCATTATCAATCGTAACGCTGACTGGAGGGAAGTCTTATCAAGTGGTTTACCATCTTTGATTAGGTCCATTTGCGGGCCAGGACTAAGCGACCAGAGTATAAATACAGTGTGCACTCATTTTTCAAATGCCTGCAACTCGATTAAAAACAAAAATTGTCGAAATAATCAGACAAACAGGGATATAGTGAAACAATCGCTCAATTGCAAAATCCATGCTTTGGCGGCATACGTKAACGGACCGAGCATTGGGACGCACATGAATCTAAGGTGGAAGTATATGTCAGAGACAAGAAGGAAAGAACTTCTTGAATGTGATCCTGAGCTGATCAACCAAGCGCTTCTCAGCGTCTACACAAAGACGACGGCCATCGTTATCGAGAAGTTGAATAGTCTTAAAACTGCAATAGTGAASAAGTCACAGCAGCAAGACGGTGTGAACAGCGACTGCAAGGAAAGCGTAAAGAAGCAAATCTGTGGTGATTCGGAATGCCCTTGTCATCTTTTTTCAAGGTTAGTGTTTGTTGCGTCTCCAATCATTATCAGGTAGCAAATTATGTGCGGGGGGTCCCAGAACACGATATCGTGGATTGAAGCGCAGATGGTAAATTTTGAAAACAAACAGGATGTATGAATGCTACTGAGTATGAATATCTTTATGATCGTCAGTGAATCATCCAAATTCGTTCTATGAATCCTGATTGGCTATTGAACTGTGGTCTATTGGAGTTTGAACACAKTTCAATAAGGTGTTAGGGGGAGAGTGGTGTCCAATCCACTGTGCGCAATTCCCTGGATCCTCTCTGATTACACCATTATAATAGGCCTTTTGAATTTAACGGTCACATGGTACTAAATCCGCCATACTGGATAGCAAAAAATGTAAACAAGCTCAAAAACAAACGAAACGCAGCCCGTCAAGCTTCACTTTTTTTGAACATCCAAGTGGGAATTTTGCCCTCTAGTATGGCGGATTTAGTAACATGTGACCGTTAAATTTAAAAACGCCTATTTTTATCATCTTTCTATAGTTACGTTATCATTATCTGTTTATTGTTCGTCCAGGTTTAAAGATTACTTCTTCATGGTTCTCCCTGCATTAACCGAAGACGACGATTCGCTTCTAAAGTGGGTAAGCTCACAGTCAGATGGAGACGACACAGAAATTGAAGAARACTTAAAAGAAAAAGAGAAAAAGAAACCAAACCACGAGGACGAGAATGATGACATCGGAGGAAAAGTCATGCTTAACCATGCGTTATTCCTCCAAGACAACAATTTGCTAAGTGAGACGATAAGTGGAGATGAAAACGCACTCGCTGACAACATCGACGACTTCTACTGCGATTCTCTAMCCGATGACTGCCCGCTTCTTAACGTGATAACCAACGCTGTTTATCTCAAGCTTTTCACGGCCACAGCCACGAAGATAATGCAACAGTTTAATGATGTYCCWCTCATGGAGGAATATTGCCCGTCAAGTGAGGAATACTATCGGCCAACCTGYGCTGGATGYGAATGGGAAGAAGATKCAAACGATCGGTTTTTGATGTGTGGAGGATGCAAATCTGTGTATTACTGCAGTAAGGATTGTCAGAAGCGTCACTGGAAAAAAGGACATAAGAAAATATGTAAAAGTATCGTTAATAAATCTAACTGGTACTAAGATAATTAGATTGCAGATAAGTAAAGCAAACTAAGACACTTTTTACGCGAATATCTGAAAGCTTGTTGCAACTTATACCGTGATTAATTGAACAAATTTTTATTAAATCAATATTTTGCCAAGAAATACGAGTTGAGAAATACCTCTTGATTCATTTACATTTATTTGATCCAGGCAATTTATGCAAACATTACACAGGCACCCCATACTTCCAGGGAATATAATTAACCACAGGAACCCCGCAACTTGTACGGAAATGGTATATCCTATGTTTATATTTTATTCTTCGTTCATCAAATTGTATGTTTGATTTATATTCATTTACGGTTATACTTGCCTCGACCGTAACGTTGTTTTCGGTTCAATGAGGGTCTCAATGGGGTGGTACGCATCACGACTCACGGCTAGAAATTTGGCGATTTCACGACTCACGACTAATTTTTTCGAATCACGGTTAACTAGATTACTTTTAGAAATTTTTGAATTACGTTTTTCATTGCTTTTTCTTTTTTCGTATGAATAGACTGCGTGACTTATTCGTACGGACATGGATTTTTCTATTTCAAAGAAGCCGAAATGCGACTATTCCAGGAAAAAATGATTATAATCATAAATCCATAATACACACAAAAAAATCCAAAAAGTGTTAAACATAGCAGGTATTGAGAACATAGTAGTGACATTGCTGCAGTCCGTGTCTGACATCGGAGTTTACGAAATTTCATTAAGTGTCGTTTTTCGCGATGATGTATTCCATGCCGGGCTAAATGTGCATGGTAAAATCAGGAAGTTTGTAGCGTATTCATATTATTATTTGACTCTAAACAAAATTATAGTATTTTAAAATCGATAACTTATATAATTACTTTAAAATGTCAGATATATACCATGTCTGTGAAAACTTATACGTTTAATGAAAACAAGCCAATGAAAGCGCGCTTTAAAATATCACATTATAGAAAATATATAGAAGCAATTACTAAATGATTCTGTAGATTTTGTAATTAAACATTAATGCATAGGAAGCTAATTCAAAGACAACAACAAAAAGCAAAAAAAAATAAAAAAAATAAAAGAAATATGAAAAAAGAAAAAACTTGAGTATTGGGATTCGAACCCATGACCATAAAATCGAAAAAAGGTTGGGACGATTCCCCCGAGACATTCTGTGAAGCTGAGGCGGCGAATCGATTTACATTCCGGTTAGAGATTTCGGCTCTTCCATGCTATCCCGATAATTGGTCCTAACTTCGCGCTAACTAAAAAGCCAGTGAGGGAGAAGCTATCCGGCCCCTAGACACTGATGGATAACCCCTTGCACTAACTAGGCAACTATCGAAAGTATAATGTCAAATTGGGGTAGTCTATTCGGTGTAAGTGTCAAGTGGTCTATTATTATGTAAATGAGAGTGATCCAGTGGCGCACCGCGTTAAGGCGCCGCTTATCCAATGTAGGTTTGACGGTAGAGGGATCGATTCCCTGGAGGAGACGTTTAATGATTTTGTTTTTTCCTTTTTATTTAATTTATTGTTTATCTTTTTTTATTTATTTATTTTTGCATAATTATTGTTATCTCTTGTCTTCGATGTACTAACATACTAAATGAGTGCTAGGTTTGTTTTGGCAAAAAAATCTTTTATATCTTTATTAGCAATCTAAAAAAAGATGTCGATTCATATTATAACGTTCTATTTCGAGCAGCTTTAGCTTCTTGTCGCACTTAGCTTGACGAACCCTACCGCTCAATTAAGGTCTTCGATGCATGCACTGCATGAGCGGGAGTTTCAAAATGTACAAACAAAATCCCAAAAATACTATCTAAGAATTAAAAAATCTTTTGTAACTTTATTAGCAATCTAAAAAAAGATGTCGATTCAATATTTTAACGTTCTATTTCGAGCAGCTTCAGCTTTAGTTTCTTGCCACACTTATAGCGTGACGCAGGCTCCCGCTCAATTAAGGTCTTCGATGCACTAAATGAGCTACTCTGCGAATAGAGCATTTACAAAAAAATTTACAAAACAAAAATTACAAGCGCGCGCCTGCATCGGAGTTGACTGTCCTTCTGAGGGACAAAACTGAATCACGGCTCACGCCATAGAAAAGTATTCACACCTCATGGTTAATTTTTTCGCATTTTCACGACTAACGGCTATAATTTTTCAGGCGTTTCACGGTTCGCGGTTAACCCCATTGAGACCCTCTTCAATAGGTCTCTCGCCAATTCTTCTCTTCTTTCATTCCTTTCTCCCATCCCTTTCTCTGTTCTCTTCCCCTCACTTTTATGTTCCGCCTCCCCCACGTCTTTGGTCGATAACCTGTAAAAGATACAACTGCCCTCGGGGCTTAACGTGAATCAAATAGATGACATTATTAATAAGGTCTAAATCACACACTTCCTGTTAGATTAATGTTTACTCAAAACACATGATGTTTTTGTAATACTTCGGCCAATTATTGTTATGTCTGTGGTTCAAGTTGATGTGGAATAATGATATGTAATAGAGATGTTGATTATTGTGGGCAGAAACAGATTCACAATCGTACATAAATATTCCTATTATCTTTATTAAAAGTGCTTGGATATTTTGAGGAATGATTGGACGTCATCGTGACGTCATAATGCAATGATAGGGAAAAACAAATTTGTACTCAAGACATTTTGAATTATATTACACACTTACGGAATGTACATGTTATATTTTCGAATGTTTCATCAATTTTCGATTACCTTTACTATAGCCTGACGGCTCTTGATGTACAGATCTTTTCATCAATTTTCGATTACCTGTACTATAGCCTGACGGCTCTTGATTTACAGATCTTTTCTCGTCTTCTCCCAACCATCCCAAACGGTTTATTTCGCCAGTAAACCGCTCCAAGCTATTGTTTATTGCTTTTATATTATAGCCGGCGTCCACCATTTAGACTCAAAAATCTATTAAGACTGTAGGCGAAATAAACCATAGCTTTTCTCATGAAATCCGCCAATCAGCGCGCGTGTTAGAATAGAGTTATAATATAAGTAATGTCTAGTGCAGTTGAGGGCTTGTGTTCGAGTACATTGTTCTTGCTTATATCTAATCATTTCAATCTGTGGCACACCGCCCGTTGTCTTCTGTAAAAAAAATGCCTGGTCAAATTGACCAAATGATGCAGGTAGTTCGCGGGTTTAGTCTGTTATATAGAGAGCGCATGGTATTTTGCCTTGCCCAGCTGATCTCTTTTATTTAATTTCTTTTTATTTTATTAGCTTTGCCCTGAAGGATACACGAACTGGACAATAACTACGCTATGATACACTAAATCAATTATACGTTTGGGCAGGGACACCACAACAGCTTGAGCCAATTACTACCTGTTCTTGGAGCTTTACTGGACCCCATTACAAATTTAACACAATGGACGCTGAAAATGTTCTGTATTCCMCAATGTCCTATGGCAATCTGTCCTATACAATCTCTCCCATAGGTTATCGTCAAAGAAAGGGTTAAAAATGGAAAGAATGGCCGATTGCGATCAATTTCATCAGATAGAAATACTAAGGTTTTGATCTTGATATTCAGATATAATATACTGTGACCAAGTTTCTCATATATCTACCAAGCGAACGTGTATCACAATAACCATTTAAAGACCTCATGGCCCCGCCGTCTGCACGTAGACAGTTCATACTATCCAGAATATAATATAAAATGGCTTTTTATTACTTACGTTTACGTTTCCCGTACGTCCACTCATGTTACAAACGCTATACAAACTTGCAAACGGTTACAGACTATCAAACGGTTTGTATTTGAGCGTTTACGTTTCCCGTACGTCCACATATATTAAAACGCTATACAAACTTGCAAACGGTTACAGACTATCAAACGGGTTTTGCATTTGAGCGTAAACTTACGTTTCCCGTACGTCCACATATAAACGTTATGCAAACTTGCAAACGATTACAGACTATATCAAACGGGTTTTGTATTTGAGCGTAAACTTACGCTTCCCGTACGTCCACATATAAACGCTATGCAAACTTGCAAACGCCCGGTTTACAGACTAGTTAAACGGGTTTTGTATTTGAGCGTATACTTCAGATATAAAAGCGATTAGTCTTATAAGCGTTTATACAACAGAAAGGGCGTGAAAACGATCGCGAGAACAGAATCGTGACCGTTTTTCGACTTCCTTCCTACACGTGGATAGATAAAAACGCTTAACGTTTAGCGAAAAATGACATAGTAGAAAATAAAGCTTTTAGTCTCGATATTTTGATTGGCTTAGAGCAATAATAT